CGCTCTTCACCTGGAATTGCAACTCGTTTCACTGCTGCATCGTGACAGGTTGGAAAGACCTCCGGCTTGTATTTGTTTTACTTACAACTTACACCTTCGCAGAGAGGGCCAAACAGAAGACTTATGTATCAGTTTTAAAGTCCATAGGGTTTAAGAAGGATGTAGACTTTATAACAACCCTCTGCCAAGAGGTGAATTTCATCACCTCCAAAATGGCATAAACAAGCTCAACGGAATGGGTTTTATCTAAGTGCTCATTTGTTCTGGCCGGCAATGCCACCAGCTCGCCGGGCCATGGAGAGTCCCACTGCTGCCGCTGAAGTCAGTCATGAAAAATTCACTGGCAACATTTTGTGCTGAAAGCATGTGCTAATGCTCATTTCACTGTGGGTAAAAATATAGGGGGTGGAAATGGTACCTCTCCAACTTGGCATCATGGCAATCGCTGTGACATTTGTCAACACAAGTCCAAATACTTGGAGAGGAAAAATTATTTCCAAAGGGTTGCCGCTATAAATCTGTAATGCACCAACTTCTTGTGAGAACAACACTGCAAAGCATATAGGAGTGAACATAAAGCTCTAATGAAATCAATGGGGAAGTTCCCCCTCATACTTCTTTACACATATCCCACCAAGAAAGAAAAAACAGTGGGGGGGGAATTTCTTTAACACATTACCAGTTAGGCATAACGAAGAAGAATCACTGATGGTTAGGCAACTCAGTGATAGATATTCTATAGGCATCTGGGGGTGATGAGGGCTCCTTGAAGGAACTGAGGAGCTGGACAGGTGCTCACAGAAATAATGGTACTATAAATGACAGGTTTGACGTTTTCTATTTTAAAAACACAAACTTCATTTCTGTGGTTTTGAAGATAAAACAGTATAGTCTAGTAAACACAGTGAAAAATGTTCATAGTAGTACCTGATGACGCATTGCTCATAATAAATATAGTTGTCATAAGGTGGATTATGTTGGGTTTAGTTGAGGAATTTTGAAAGACCAGTTTTGTGTATGACAGGATACTGGATTTTCTAGCTTCAATTTTCAATCTAGAAGTAGAGGGAATTATTTTTTAATCATAAAAATTGTGAAAACATTCTGTGGTTTCTTTGTTGTTGGAGTTTTTCTAATGGGTCACAGGATCTGAAGAAATTTATTTTAAAAAAATATGCTGGAATTTTAAGCCAACTTTTTAACAAATATATTGTCAAAGCAGCTATGGACACCTACTTCGGCATATGATGTTTTCCAGACTGAAGCCTCAGTAAGAGAATTAAACGCGTGCTGTCCGCATCAGGCTCCAGAAGATGGCATTGTCTTACCTTCTCTAACTGCTCCATGCACGCGTTGTGGACCACAATCTTGCAGGCAGCACACTTCCTCCGCAGAGCAGATTTCTGCAAGAGGAAAGGGAGATGTGTGTGCATGGAGGTGTGCTATTCCCAGGAGGAAAAAAGAGAGCTGTGAAGCAGGAGGTGTTTTGCTCCTTATGCAACGTATATTTTTTTTTTCTCCTCTCTCTTGGTGCTTTCAGCTGTTCTGTATATTGAAACAAGGTCTGAAGCTCTTGCAGTTAAGATTTGGACTTTGTGAAAAAGACAGAGCCACAGTACTCCAGTTTGTGAACTGGAAGTAACAGGCTGTCTTCGGGTAGCAGATAAGGCTGTTAGCGGTGCAGATCGTCGCTCTGAAAGGGAGCGGCCTATGAAGATGATAAGCAGAGCCAGTGAAAAGAGGAGAAAAACCATACGTGCAAATCTGAGAACTCAGACCAGTTTGTAAGAGTGTGTCATTTCATGCTTATCATATAATATTTAATTTGATGGGCCTGACCATTGCCTTGCAGAAAAATACTTGCGTACTTGGGTGATTTAGCAGAGAATGATAACCTTCTCACAGAATATTGTTAAATGTTTATGAAATGTTACAGCAGGGACAAAATTCTCAACCTAATTATGCTGGTTAGTTTTATTAATTTCAGTAGGGCTTTTAAAATAATTTACATTGAATCCCCTGGGCCACAGCATATCAAAGGCAAGAGAATGCATCCAGGAGAGATTTACTTTTTTTTCCTTGCATATTCTCAATTTAATAAACCAGTTGGAATTAATTCTCATAGAAGTTTAACTTGCAGACTTGTGCTTGAGGGACAGAAAATTTAAACACACAGTAAGTTGAGGTTGATTTGTTTCAGATTTTTACATTCAATTTATTCATGTTCATTTAAATCACTACTAAATTATTTCTTTAGAATTTTCAATATATTGTAAATAAACTCAAGAAGAAAGAGGGAACACAGCTTTGGCTCACATTATAGAATTATTATTATAATTTTACTGAGTCTCATAATTATGAGTCTCATAATTATCTGGATATATCCTAACTGTGCACGTTCATATGTACTGTGGAGTGTTGTTCTAATGTTTCACCTGAAGAATCATGACGTAGTATAACAGACTAAGCTTTCATGTGTTTTGTGACTCATTAACTTTAAGTATGTTTTTAGTGTCTCTGTTTACCAAGAAGAGTGAGACAACATAAAGGAATCGATCCCTAAAATGAAAAACTGCAAAAACAAACAAAGGTAATGCCTTACGAGCAGCTTTTTTAATATCTTACTTTTTAAGTTGTTCTGTGGATCTTGAATGCTGGTAGCATTGCAAGCAGTTACAATCATTTATAGTGAGAGGCTAGTAAAAATTCAAACTATCTTTTCCATTACTTCTAACTTTTTTGACTTATCATGAAATGTCAGCTCCATATTCCAGAGATTATGAATTCATGTTCTCTATAGGCTAACCTTTTATGCAAACTCTCTGCAGCTACAGCTTAATTACTTCTCGCCATTTCTCCATTGAAAACATTGATCTTAAGTAGTCTACATGTAAAAGAGCCAAGTCAAAGGAAGACCAGGACAGGCATAGAAAGACGCAGTGCCTTCGAAAGAATCAAACTGGAAAAGCATTAGCCTTTTGACAGGTCAGGTTAAACTAACCACAACTAAAGTTACCTCAATTTTCATTTCCATCTCTAGTTCTTAAACTAATGAAAGCCCGCTACACTGTAACATGTTATAGACACAGATATCGCTTTCCCCCAAGGGAACCAATATGCTAATACCTAAAAGTGTCAAGAATCTCAGTCAGTCAAGCAAAGGCCAAGCAATTAAGAATTGAACAACCTTAAACTCTGCTGCTTCCTAAATATGACTCAACATCTCCAGGACTATTGGTCAGAAAAGCTTGTCACCACGTAAGCTATCTCCCAACATTCCCAGATAAAAGTGTAATTCGGTGGACCTAATTCACCAGCTACTGCAGAGTCCATCCAACCCATAGAGAGATACACTGCTAACGCTAGGACACAGTCTTGCAAAACATATGCAATACGTTATTAAATTCCGTGCTACTTTCTATGAGATAAAACATGAGGAAATATTTACTCAGTTTTAGAAAGGTAAATTTCTACTAAGAACATAAGAACAGTCATACTGGGTCAGACCAAAGGTCCGGTCAGCCAAACAAATCCTGTCTCCAGCTTTTGCCAAAACCCAGTGCCTCCAGACAAATATAAGTGCAAGGCAAAAACACGACAACACTTCCCTTGAATATTACCCCACATTCAGAAGTCTGTTACTTTTGGGACTTCGCTTCAGTACTCTTTGTAAGCAGGCATAGACTTCCCAGGCTTGGCCTTAATGTTATATGCCATAAAGCAACCAATTTGCTTGAGAAGCTACGGGGCATGGATATTAAATTTGAGCTATGGAAAGCACTAGTGTTTTGGATCAAAGCTCCCCAAAAACTGGGGGTAATTAGTGAAACAAAATGCTTCGATTTGGATCAAATTATTTGAGGGGTGGTTTGTTTTTTTTTCAATAAAATCAGAAAGATGGTATTGCAAAGAGTCACTGGCAGTATCCACAAACACCCCAGAGAAGTTAAGACTCTCCCTACACTTTGCAGTCCCAGGGCCACGATATTCCCTTGAGCACGGATTCAAAGCAAGAGCTTAAACACAGGATTCCCACTCTCCCACCAGGTTTCCTAAACACCAAGATAAGAGGTGGGGTTTTTTCTTCTCTTGTGCTGACACAGTTTAATTGAAATACTAGGTGTGAGTTGCTGAAGCAGCCTGGAAGTGTAACAGTGACTCCCCAGTCAAAGAAGAGTCACCCACGGGTTAGAGATCAATCCAATGAAACTCTTTCATGCACAGCAGAAAAGCTTCAACAGGAGAAGGAAAACCTCGAATATTCTCAAATAGGAGAAGGCAAACGCTTAAATATGAGTGCACTCATCGCTCGTAAGTGCATTCAAGAGTTTGGAAGATTCAGTTCAAATCATTGCAGTGATTAAAATCACAAAACTTTGATCAAACCCTACTCTCAGAGACCCTAGCAAGTGATATATTAGTATATATAAATAAAATGGGCTACTTTCTTTGAACATTTCTGAAATACCTCAGTATTGTAACCTCTTTTCCCTTACCACATTAATAAGGCTACTCATTACATCCATTCTCACTGTGTAAATAATCTTGATTACTCAAAATTGTTTGCGGCTTGTTCCCCAAGCACTAAAGTATTTAACCAGCAGCCTTTTGCCCCTTTTGCATTCCTTTTCCTTGAACAAAAGCATCAACAACAGCAAACAATTCGAGCTCACAAGCATCTGAACACCGTAGCAGCCTGAAGTCGGGCCTGTTACCAAAGAGAGAGGGAAATCTGAAAATAACTCACTGAGAATTTGACTTGGCAGCTTTCCTCTCCCAGGTAGCAGAGGTCCCCAGAAACATTTGTCTCCAGCCACAGATGCTCTCCATTCACAGCATTTTCCTGAGAAAAGATGATTGTTAATCTGGTTTGTGAAATTCAGCCACATGAGTATAGAGAAAAAAAAGATATGATTTTCACCACAAATTTAGGAAAAAAAACCAAACCAACAAAACCCAACCACCACAAATTGTTTTGTTTTTCTATAACACAAAGCCATAACAGTATTACCCTGGCTGACCACCCCTGCTTAAAGAATGTGATGATACAGTGAATGATGTGTCACTAACCAGAACCAAAGTATTTTTGTGTACAGTTCAGTGAAACTTTGCCCATGTTCTTCCCACATGCTGCACAGTTTAACTGGGACTCTAGATTTCATAAGCATGAGATGTAAACAGAATTTTCAAGGAACAGAAAATCAAGAGATGAAACAAAAAACATGACTACTGAACTTTCAATTGGAGAAGCCAATTCAAGGTCAGGTTGAACGAGACTCTGAGCAACCTGACCTAGTTGAAGATGTCCCTGCTTATTGCAGGGGGTTGGACTAGATGACCTTTAAAGGTCCCTTGCAACCCAAACTGTTCTATGATAAGCCCAAAAACTTCAGAACTGGGCCCAGAAGTGCAAAATAAGATACTGATTATAGCTTTAGGATGACAGGATAGACAAGGAAAAATGCCTTCTTTAAAATGACTGGGTCAACACTGCATGTTTATGAAAACATTAAGTGGCCAGGAGAGACCAGACTTTAATTTTATACCTGAAAGAATGATACATTCAACTGAGAACACACTGAAAAAAATTCTGCCTGGCATGCTGACAATTAGTAGTGATTAACATGGTATCATCTGATTTTTCTTTGACAGTGTCATTTGACCAAATCTATACCCTACTTCAATAAAAATTCTTGTTCTGAGGAAATTTGGTTGTAGAAAGACTATAGTTTTCACTTGACTGTAATCTTGGCTCAACTAAAAAGCCTAAGTAGTCAACTGTACACTACTTGAGCAAAGTGAATAAACAGGATTTCTGTTCAGTCAGAATTAGAGCATGATGGAAAACGCTTTGACAGTCTCTGACATTTGGTTCCCACACCGCAGAAGTCACAAATGATGACGCTTACTAAACAGATGGCGTCCGACAGCAGGATGCTCTGAAATAGCCATCTTGGTTAAAATAATGTATTTAAAATACCACTGACAGTTTCAAAGTGATGAAATGAGAAAGCTTCTCTTGCCACGCAGATTTCTTAGGTAGTGCAGAGAAGCAGAAGTAACAAAATCCTCTGCCTTCTGGAGTACGAGTGCATCCACAATAGCCAAGACCTACACAAGTCTGCATGTGGTACCTACCACAACTACGGTGCTCACTTCAATGAAGCCAGAAGAACAACATGGGGTTTTTTTCTGCTGAGACATCTACCTGTCCACAGGTCTAATTTCATCAGCAATGCTCCCATTGATGTCAGACTCAGTATTATGCCTCAGCACAAGCAGCTGGATGAGAGTGAGACTTGGATTCCAGTCTACTGCCATTACACTCTGCTTAAACATCATTTAGTGGCACACCATCCTATACCTCCATTTCTTCTCACCCTTTTGTCTGACCGCCCACCTGAGCTGTAGACTCCCTGGGACAGAGATATTCCTAAACTGTACAGTTCAGTGCGTGATAGTATAGGTGAGGCTTTTCAGCACTTCTATAATGCAGAAAAGCTTTTAAGGACTTGTATTAGCTTAAGGAATTCTTCAAGCCTTATTCAAATGGTAAATTATTCAAGACTGTAAATTCCTTCCCTTCAAGATTATCCTTTTACAAAAGCAATTTTCTTTGTCAAGACCTGTATCAGTTTTACAGAACTTCATGGAAGCCTAGTCACATCATACCAACAAAATTACTATGCCCACAGTATTACCCAACATATTAACTTCCTGCCTAGTTTATGAGGAGCCAGACAAGAGGACTGAAGCAAGAGAATATGAGCTCAAAGAGTGTTTGACCTGAGCACATTCTCTGCTGGTGAAACAATCCAAACTTGACATTATTAACCCAGAGCTAAATTTCACAGATTATAAAAAGTGTTTAGAAAGGATCAACTATGAAAGCTAAGTAAGAAAACACACCACTTCTGGGACATAATTTTTAATGAGGAATCAAAATTCCATTAAAAAACAGATTAATTGCCCTTTCATGCAGACCACGTCCACATAACTTGCCATCCAGGATTTCTAAAGATAAAGTGGCCTATTTCCATAACCTAGTTTAGACTGATTATTCCAGACTGTATCATAGATTCACATGTCTGACTTTACATCACAGTGTAAATCAAATCAGTAAGTAGTCTACAAGGATGACCTTTGTAGCTCATGCCATGACAGAGTTCTGACAAGACTAGATAATAAAAATGTAAATAACCTGATCTGGTACAAGTGGCACACCTCCAGGTACCTACTGCCACAAACAATTTCACAACACTGTGTGTGAAAACTCACAATTTTGATTCCGGCAAACTGACATTTGAAAAATCTTCTTTCATCCTGAATCAGAGCAAAGAGCCAAGATTCCCCAAGATGAAATGCACCCCCACAACCCAACAGGTTTTGCCTGTCAATTACTTTGTCTCAACAAGATCAAAGGGAATTATTTGAACTTCGCTGTTTTCAGATTTTACAGGGCGTTTTCATTTATATGATGAGACATTTTGTTGCAGCTTATGAAAATCAAGATGATATAGTCAAAGGAAAAACACTTTGACCTTTTCCAAGCCAGATTTTTCATTTGATTCTAATAGGAAATTTTGACAAAAAACAATACATTTCTATGAAGAATTTTGACTTCAGCATATCAGTATTTTCTTCTCAAAAAATTGCAGACATCATTCCACAATGTGCTGGACAAGAGTACTGCATCTACAAATACATAAGCTGACAGAGGTCACTGGGACTACCTCTAGCGTGAGTTCCTGTTTAACACAAAACTAAAACACAGTAAAGGCTACATCATCACTTGAATATTTTGACATAGATATTTTTCCACAGGAGGTTTGAGTTCAGCAACCTTTTCATAATTTGTCAGTTTGGTTTTTTTGCACTTGATGTCGTTATGTTGGCTTTAAGAGTAAATGGCTACTAAAGATGCAGTTGTCCTCTTTCTGTCCCTGACCCCTTAGACCCCAGTCTCACGCTCTTGCCATTTTCCTCATGCTGGATCTAGTGGCTGTAAATCTACACATGAATCAGTTCAACTGATGGCATAAAATAGATAAAAGTTACCTACCAAATCAGCTAGACAAAATGACTCACCCTGTGACCACATAACTGCTGGATCTGACAGAAGGAGCGGTGGGTTAAGGGTGGGTTCACTGGGACCGATACTTCTGGTACCAACTCGGTGCTAGAGCAGCTTAGCTGCTCTGCCAAGTCATGCTTTCATGAAGCAGAGGCAGCAGTGCTCTGCCGGCAGCGCAGCCCGCCTCACGGGGGACACAGGAACCCAGCGCGCTCTCCCAGATGAAGACCTCCCATCTGATTGCTCCTGATCCGTTACCACCTTAACGGCACGTAAAAATAATTTCAGTATAGCAAATAGTCCTTGCACATGAAACAAAAACCACACACGAGCCCCCCCACGAAGTGAAAGAGAAATAGGGATTCAAAGACTAGGAGTTTGGGAACATGACCATAACGTGCTGTGCTTATTTCACTAATTCAACCAGGTTTCTTCTCTTAAGTGCCCCAGCATGATTAAATGACAGAGCAAGTGTTACCATTTTTCTAAAGCCCTTAAGTATCTCCATACCTCGCTGTTCTTCAAGTTGTAGTCAGCACGGTTTCAAAAGCAATGCAGATAAATCTAGATAATTTAATTTGCCATGTCAAGCAGCCATAGATATTCATCCAAACAAATACACCAGTCAGCCCAACTTTATAATTCAGAAGAGTTGTAACTCCAATTGTCATGGGAGGAATGACTGGCATTCTGTAAAAAATTCTGTAAGACAGATTTCCAAAATAAGCCATTAAGAAATTTTTCCCTTTGTTAACACTCCAGTGAGAGAGATGAATCTTCTTACAAGTATACATTTGGGTGATAAACTTATGATTGGTGTAAAATTAGTGCTCAACCTAAATTTAAATAAACACATTTGTAAGCAAAAATTATTAGCTTTAGCCCTTGTCTTTATGAGGTCACTATCAAGCAGGAACAAGTTTGTTTAGATGTCTTTTTCCCAAATGTGTCTCGCTCATGTTTGGCTTGTGTTTTACCTTTAACTCTGAAATTCCAGAATTTGTAACGCTAACGTTGCAAACAATAGCAATGTCCCAAACGGTTTTCTGTTGATATATATTCTCAATTTTAACTCCACCTCAGCACATTGTAATTTGGGAATATTCTTCATGTAGAAGTCACCTTTTCTTTAATTATCACAAACATAATACGCAGACATAAAACAAACAAAAAAAACCCATCATGGAGATATGGTACTACATCATTACTTCTAAAAACTTCAAGATACATAGGCTCCAACTTCAGAACTATTTTGGGTATTGAACTTTCAGGTCTAGGTTCACCACATTCTCTAGCTTTTTCTGCCATTCTCCTTTCCCCCACTGTGCTTTCCAACACCACAGTGGGCATCTGTTGTCCACTCCTGTACTCTCTGCTGAGCTTTTGAGATTGTTGTTACCAGCATCTGAAAGATCATTTGTATGCAGAAGCAGAATTAACAACGTTTGTTTTCATGGAGGAACAATGTCCAAATACTATCAAATGAGGTGGCGATTCCCTATGTTCTCATGAACCATTATTTTGGCTGACAACAGCTTAACTTCAGTCCTTTTAGCAGCAATAGGAAAAAAAATACCTATTGGGGGTGGGGTGGCACCTTCTATATCACTGCATCCTATATATCACTAGGGAAAAGGAAAAAAAAAAAAAAAAGATGGCCACCATTTTGAAATATGACAAATCTCTTCTTTTTTCTCTTTAGACCTCTCTGGAAAGAACATTTGTTCTCAAACTTCGATGAAAAGAAACAGCAACGTAGGACTACTGAT